GGGGGGGGGGGGGACACGACACCAAATCTGGAAAATCTGGAATTATTGGGCATTCTGAACAATGGTCTTATTTATTTATTATTATTATTATTTTGAGGAGAGTGACTAGATGGATTTACAAGTGATCTCACTTAGTGCAATTCCCTAAAAGCTGCATGTGAATACCGTTTTTGTAAATTAGATTGCATTTCATCTTTTGGCAAATTGTCTAATTAATAGGATCCTGCAATGAATCCTTTTCCTTGAAACAATGTGTTTTTGCTTGTTTTGCTAGAAAGTGTGCATAGTTTTATTTTGGACCTGCTTGAAGTAAAATGAAATTATACTGCAACACTCACCACCTTTTGTATTTGATACTATGCCTCATGCTCTGACAAAGAAAGCAGTAGAGGAAAAGCATGTATTTGCCAAATATTTATCGAGTGCTTCCTCTGGGAAGGCGAGTTAGAGTGGACTGATATAAGAAGAGTATTTCTCTTTCACAATGGATGAGGGTCCTTAGATGTTCTTTGTCTTTAGAGGAATTTTAAATTCAACAACCCCCTAGGCTGGTTAATGTTAAGTACTGTGTGGTTGTTGGGCTTTCTCAGCAGCTATAAAGCATTCCCAACTTCAGGTTCCCCTCGTGGAGGCCACCTTTGATCGAAAGTAGAGGAAGAGCTTTAGTTTGCTTTGGGCGCCATTTATTTTATTTTAATTTTTAAAAAAATACTCACCCGAGGATATTTTTTCAATTGCTATTTCAGAGAGTGGAAGGGAGAGCGGGTGGGAAGAGAGGTGGGAGAGACATATCAATTGTTTGCCTCCCCCCATGCCTGGGGATTGAGCCTGCAAAGGAGGTATGGCTTTGGGTGCCATTTAAAATCTATTAAACCCTCTTGAACATCTTAGATGGTAAAATTGCAGAGGTCATGGAGACTCCTTACAGAAAACTTTAATTTAAATCAAGGTTTTTCAAGCTCTGATACAAGACAGGCAGCAATGTGGACATGGCCTTTGGAGCAGCTGGAACCCTGGGAAGGAGAGTATAAGTCTCAGTTCTCCAAATAACGCATTGGACTTTTCCCCAACACTACCCCAGCCACCATTTTAGACATTAGTTTCCCTGAAGGCAGAGATATGGTAATAAATACTACAATTTTGGAATTTAGTCTGTAGAACAAACCAGGACACTGATGAATGAACTCATTGACATCAGTTCTAGAGACCAGGAGGGTGACTGTTGTAACTCAGGCTGAAACTAGAAAGCACAGCTCACTGTGACAATGAAAGAAAACCGAGCAGGGGTGCCTGAGGTCTCTTTCTCTCCCTCGACGTTCCCTCACAGGCATTGCCCTGCGTCTGACTACATTCTCGTTGTATAAATATTTTGTCTATATCCGGACTGGGGCAGGGCCATGATGATCTGGTGGGGGTGGGAAACCATGATTAAGATCATGGGATTTGGCAGCAGACATACCTGGATTGATTTGTGACTTTTCTACTGATGAACTGTATGACCTTGAACAGCTTCCTCACCCCCTTTCAATCTGTGTTTCCTGGTCTGAGGATGTCCTAGCTTCACAGAGCTATTGAGGCTAGAAGAGGGAACGTGCATGAAGTCGCTGACACAAACCTGGCGTCCAATTAATGGCAGTCAGACATTGCTGGTGAATGGGTCCACACAGACACGAAGGAGAGTGGGGAACAGAGGCCATTTTAAAGAATAAATTGCTCAGCCCTGGCCAGTGTGGCTCAGTTGGTTGGAGTGTCATCCCATGCACTGAAAGGTGGTGGGTTCGATTCCTGGTCAAGGCACATGCCTAGTGAGGGCGCTCCCTTCTCTCTCCAAAATGGATTAAAAAAACACCATATTCTCAGGTGAGGATTAAAAAAATAACAATAAATTGCTCATTATGGAGAAAAGGGATTGTTGGGAATTGGAAGAGTGCCTTGGCTCTTCAAGATACTGTAATCAATAGGTAACTACTTCGATCTCTTTGTTCTCACGTCACGTTGGTGAATTCACGATGTGCTGACATTCAAAACAGATGAGTCACACTCAATTCTGCAGGTTTTGAAGTCAAGATAACAGCTTTTGCCTGTTTAACAAGCCTCCCGTCCCTGGATAAATCAACAAGCACGATTGTTTAACATTCCCTTTGGCTGTGTAGATATGATTTAATATAATTCAGTGACTTGTAATAAAACAAACTAACCTCAGTTCCTTCCCCCAGGAATTGTGAGGTCTGCATCCTGTAAGTCAGAGCTGTGAGCGATCAGTAATTTCCAGCCTGTCTTGAAGATGCCGGGTAGCAGAAACGGTTCTCTTTTGTGAGCTGTATGCACCTATTACTGTGTTTTTATTGCCTTCCACCTTCCAGAATGAGAACAATTAATATTTTATGGCAAAATTGTTTACTTCTTATATTTCTTTGTAAGGGAATGGTTAGGAGGCCTATGAGAGTAAAGAGAAAAAAAGTCAGTGGGGGGATCATTGTTCTCAGGAGCTTGTTTGCAGTGACCCAACGAAGAAAGGACAAGAGGGAGTGGAGCTGAGATGAAATGTTACCCAGTTTCCTAAGGGAAGGTGGTGTCTTGTCCACAGACAGCAGTGGGCTAGACATTCAGAGACCTGGGCTTTCGTCCTCAATTTCCCATTAGCTCCCTGTGTCACTGTGAGAAAGACATTGTCTCTTTCTGGGCTTCAGTTTCCTCTTCAAGAAAATGAGCAGTTGGCCTACGCTTCCTAAGTCCTCTGTTAGCTCTGAATTTATAATTCCTCCCTCCTTATTCCCTGTATGCTTCTAAATGAGGATTGGGAGCCATTTATCATCATCAAACAGAGGCAACCGGCACATGAGTTTCAAGTATTGAAAACTATGAGTGTTCACGTCTGTGCACTTGTTTAAACCCTATTCTAGACCAATGCAGTTTTAGTACGTGTACACTTGGGGGGGGGGGAACATGGTGTTTCGTTACCGCTAAACAAAATACTCTAAACTATACTATTCATTGTGCCTCCTCCCAGCCCTCTCCATTGCTAACAGATGCTTCCTGTTGGCTTCCATCTGTCGCCCAGGCTGGGCACCTGACTCTCCCACATCCAGTCTGCCATTAAACTCTGTTGCTTCTACTGATGCAATATTTTCTTCTTTCTAATCTCACTGCGGCCGCCCTTGTTCTGAACCTGTCCCCCTGCCCCCAATCTTAGGCTGCTGTGACAGCTTCCGGTAGAGTCACCTGCACTGCAAGCTCAGTGTCTCACCAGCCACCCGGTAACTCATTGCCGGACGGATCTTCCCAAAGCACAGCTCTAACTGCGTCATTTCTGTGTCAAAACTTGTCAGTGACTCCTCAGTGCCTTGGGAGCAAAGTCCAGGATCCCAAGTCTTTCAATTAAGATCCTCTGTGGCTAATTACCAACCAAATTTCTAGGTTTGTTTCTCGTTAATCATTAGGCACCCACAAGAGTTCAGGAATCTAGTTAGAATTTTATTATTTGTACTTCGTAGCTGTCTTACTTTCGCCCACGCTCTTGTCTGTGCAGAAATGCCCACCCCCTCCACCTTTATCTGTCCAGGTTCCTCCTCCTCGGGTCTGGCGCAGATGCCATCCCTTCCCACCTTCCTTCCTTCTCAGCTGCCAGTGGGCCTCCCCTCGTGGAAGTGTTAGCGAGTGCAGCTCTCTCGTGACCCTATCACCTGCTGACTTGTGTGTGTTTGTTCAATCTTCCTCTCAAGGTTTTAAGCTTTTTGAAAGCAGAGGTTGCACATTCTACAGAAAATCAGTGTGACATGGTAGAAAACACCAGGTCGGTAGTTAAGAGAACTGAGCTCTAGACCCCGCTCTGCAGCTGGGGGACTGTGCTGCCTTTCACAGATCCCTCCATTCGCACTTGTGAACTGGCGGTTTGGTCTGAATCAGCGCTTCTCGGTCACCACTCAATGGACAGGGCTTTTATGATCCATTGAAAGATGAGAAAAATGGAGGCTTTTTATACATGTAAACATTCGTTTTAATAGACTCTATATTTTTTATTTTTTCCTTTTAACTTTTTTGATGCTAGAATGTCATTTTATGAACTAATGACGGCAAGAGATAGTAGATGTTAACTCCCTATTTCACTTGGTAGAATAAAAAATTGGAATATCAATGTCAATCTCTCAGATATTGGGAGGGGGAATTAGAATTGGCCTATGAAATTTCGAAGCCCAGCACTCACTGAGACAAAGGACACTTCCAGCTCCATAATTCAAGACATTTGTGTCTGTCCCATGGTGCAGAGCTCTGAATAGATCCTTGGAAAATGGCTGAATGCATGATTAGTCAACACTCTTCTATTACCAGCTTCGTTATATATTTTTGGTTCTGCTTTTTTGGATAGAAATAGTAATGAGGCGTGAAGAAAGAGTTTCTGTGTCATGACATATCTGTGCTTTTCTTTCCCTGTTCCCATCTCTCCCTCCCACCCTTGCTGACTGACCCACAGACTCCCCGGCTGCTAGCATACTGAAGTTATTATTACGGCTACCTGCTCTCGCAGTGCCAACCTGGCCAGCCTGGGCCAGAGAGGAGGGTACACCATGCCCAGGACCCCATCGTGTACAATACGGTGGTAGAGGTTGGAATAAAGGTGACTCCACACTTTATGCTTTTTCTTAGAAGAGGCTGACGCCAACATGTCCTCATGGAATTAGCAGGAAATTTCCATTACAGAATTTTTGTCTTCTCTAAGGGAAAAAGCCTGCTGAACACTGAGGGTTTTTTTTTCCCCCCACACAGGAAACTAGATTTCAAAAAGATACAGCCCCATTCTCCTCAGGTAACACAGTCTTATTTCTTGATGAGAATTGGCTACAGGAACGAGCTAGGAAGTCTGTAACCACAGCCAGGTTTGTGTAAGCAAATCCAATAGGACTTCTGAGTCACTCATTATATCTTAAACTAGTGAGTGAGCCAGTTTTACCCTAACTTTCCAATCAAATCAGGATAAAATTTTTTTCATATAGGCTAAGGTTTTTAAAAAAGATCCCAATGGAATACCCTTCAAGCAATATGATAAAAAATAAGCATAACTAAGAGAGTATTAATAAGGGCAGGCCCTTGCAGTCTTGGTCCTGTGAAATCATATTCAAGATTTAATTTTCTTTGTTCGCTGTGCTATTTATGTCTGCACTGTGCACTGTGAGGTATATCTCATTTATTAACTGCCTCTATGCCTCTGTTACGAGGGAAAAAAAGTCAGTGAAAATGATTAAAATGAATGGTGGCAGGCCAGCAACCACTCCCTCATGTGCCCCAGCCTTCAATCGAAACTCAGACTACACAAATCAGTGTAAAGTTATGGAAATAAAATCAGTGAACAAAAATGCTTCCCTAACCTCCACATTTTCCATGTCTCCTCATTATCATTGGACTGAGTTTGAACACGACTCCTGTAGAATAGCTTTGGCTGCACGGGAAGCTACTAATAGACCTTTTCTCACTGGAAGAACATTTAAGACTTGTGTCTGTAATGCCTGCAGGGAAAGCAAATAGGATTGAGGGAATTGTTTGGCCTATATTTTCTAAGGCTTGTTATGGCTTTGGGACCGGTGATCCCTGTTTCCCACATCATCACTCACTCATTCACTTATTCATTCATTGAAAAAATATTTATTAAGCATGAAAAGCATGTCTTATTAGATTCTGCTTAATAAAATGGTATATAAAATAGACAGGGTGCCCTGGTCGGTGTGGCTAAATGGTTAGAGCATCAGCCTGCAGACTGAAGGGTCATGGGTTCAGTTTCTGGTCAAGGGCATGTACCTGGGTTGCAGGTTGGACCTCTGGCCTGGTTGGGACTCATGCAGGAGGCAACCAATTGATGTGTCTCTCACATTGGTGTTCTCTCTCTCTCTCCCCCTCCCTCCCTTTCACTTTCTCTAAAAATCAATGGAAAAAAATACCCTCGGGTGATGATTAATATGACAAAAAAATAAAAATAAAATAAACAGGTTCATACTATAGACCAGGGGGAGAGACAAATAGTAAATATGTGAACAAAAAAAAAAGTATACTTGCCAACCGGGTTAAGAGCAAAGATGGAATTAGAGGGAGTGCAGTTACAGAGAGTAGCAGAAGTATGCTATTTTGGAGGGGTGATCAAGGAAGCCTTCTCTCAGGAGAGAACATTTAGAGACTTAGGAGGAGGAATCGGCTATGTGAAGAGCACAGAAAAGAGCGTTTTTGTCTGGAGGTAGAGTGAGTGTGAGGGGCCTGAGCAGGGAAAGAACTTGGCACATTCCAGCACTAAGAGCTGCTCTGCTGGGCTAGAGCCGTGAACCAGGGGCAGAGGGGTGTGGGTGGGGCAGGCTGGCCCTGCAGGGCCTGGCATGGAGCTTGGATTGAATTCGGGGTACAGTGGGAGCCACTGAAGAGAATGACGTGATCTAGTTACACACTAACAAAATCACTTTGTTTGCTGTGCAAAGAAGAGAGGACAGGGACAAGAGTGGAAGAAGGGAGATCAGTTTGAAGGTTATCTAGAGAGGTTTAGTCAATGGATGGTGGTGATCTGGTTTAAGGCGGGAGGTAGAGACAGCCAGCCACAAGAGGGTCTAATTGGTAAATGTAATTATGGAGGAGGGTTGAAAATTACTCAAATGCAGCTCACATGCTACCTCCAAGATAAGACCTCAGAGCACTTCAACTTGGAATAATCCCGACTTTCTCTAAGCTCTTACGGCACTCTGGCTCTATGGCAAACCTAATGACTTTCTGTTTTATTGTAATTATTAGTGTATATGTCTCATTTTCTCTTCTAGATTATAAGCTTCTTGGGTTGGGGAAGACAATACACAGCCATGTACTGACTGTCCACCATTCTGCCACCTGTGCTACCTGTCACAGTGCTTTGCACACAGAAGGCACTTGATAATAACTCAGTAAAGAGTAGTGCAACCACACGCTTCATAAAGTTCTCCGAATCTCACATTAAAAGCTTTGAGACAAGTACAGAGGTGTGGTTTCTCCTAACACTTGGTGACATTTGTCTATTAAATCTCCGTACCGGCCCCTGGCCTGCGATCCAGTGAATTGTGGGAAACGGGTTTTCAACCCTCTCTCCCAGGCCCACAAAATAGAATGTCGTTATATTTACAGGGGCCTGGGGAGACCCCCGAAACACAGCAGCACAATCATATATCAGAAACCCCTATCATAAATGAGTCGGACAGGATAAGCCAACTTGAAAGAGAAAATAAAATATTATAACCCCGACTTGAAAAGAAAATATGGTGTGTGGTTTATTGCTGTGGATTATGGAGGAGGAAAGAACCGATTTTAAGGCAAGAACAGAACGCAGTGGCAGTCTTTAAACTCCGTGCAGTGTTCACGTGGCAGACAGTGCATGCTGGAAAGCCGAGGCTTTGGGCTCCTGCTCTGGTCTATAAAATAGATGTAAAATTGCTTGTGCTGCGTTATTAGTGCTATGTTATTAATAGGCCATTCTAGAGGCAAGGGATGTTAGGGGGAAAATAACTGGTACTTTCAAGTCTTTTCATCAGAATCTCATATTGCATTTTAAAAACCTTTAAAGACTGTGGCTTTGGGAAAGTCCATTGTGATGGAAGAGGGTCTCGGGAAAATTTGCAATATTGGAAAGAACTTGAACCATCCTAGTGATAAGTTCTGCAATTATCAGAAAAACGAAGATGATCTCAGATAATGAGATTCTTTTACTTCTAGAATTACTTTCCATTGAGAGCGCCTTCCTTCCTTTCCTGAGCTCCCTAGTTCCCACCCCCAAGTCTCCATTGCTTGAATGCAGTGAGTCATTAACATCTGGTTCAGACATGAAGGTATCGAAATGCGTCCCATGACCAGGGCTGAAAGTGGAAACACTAGGGCACATGTGGGATTTGTTGGTCAGGCTTGTGCTAGTCCAATACGTACAACCGCCGCAGAGACTGAGGGAACCGGGATAGGATGCGATAGGGACTTAGGCACTGAGTGGAGGTCGACCAGATGGCTCCTAGGGACCTGTTCAAGCTGGGTCGCATGGCTGTTTCCCTGGGTTTCCTCAGCCTTATGAAGCTGCCTCTCTATTTCCTCTGATTCTCTTGTGAACCTTAGAGACTGGATAAGATGTGCTGGATTCTGCCCCATCCAATCACATGTTTTTAGATTTTCCTTTGGGTGCGACCTTGACAAAAGAATAGCTGCTTCTTGTGTCTTTCTTGAGACCATTTCAGGTCAGTCAAGGAGCAATCCCTAGTGGCTGGAAAGACACAGCTTAAGTAAAATGGGTAATGTGGCCAATTACTTGGATCCTTCAGGTGAGGCAGCCACCTGGTTGGATTGTCCGAATCCATTCATTGCACTTTTCAGGGTCCTCCTGTGTGTCATGTGCCATGGACCCAGTTTTCCATGTCAATACTTTTGTTTATCACCATTGGGGGGCAACCAAGGTGAATGGAAAAGAGTTTCCGGAGTCATACGGGGAAAACCTTGGTTTTTAGGGAGAAATGGGTCAGGTGAGGTGGGTCACACATCTGTGTGCCAGGCCCTAGTCCTCTATCGACTTCATTTAAATCTCCAACTAAAAGGAAATGAAATAAAAACACTAGCTGTGATTAACAGAGTGACTTTTGTTATTTTACTAGGAGCAACTGAAAAGGAAGTCCATTGATGAAAATATAATTCATGCTTTTTTGTTTGTTTCCAGATCACCAGATTAAAAATCGACCGAAACCCCTTTGCTAAAGGATTCAGAGATTCTGGAAGAAACAGGTAAGAGTAATTGGGAAAGAGACTCATTGACATTTCTTTTCTGGGGGACAGTATTCCCACCACACCCCATTGATGGCTTTTGGCTCCTACTTTTTGGAAAATACCTGTATGTTATGCCACTGTGCAGAGAGAAATAGAGCAGATCCAAGAGTGAAAAAGCTGCCCCCTACAGGCTGAATTGTCCAGATTCTTTGTCAACGCACTGTAAAGTAAAGTACCAGATCAGATCCCTCATGGTGTTTCCCCTTCTACTAGTCACTTAAAACACATTTTATGGTGATTTATTGTCATCAAAAGATTGCTGCTTTTTCTGATAAGCATCTACATGTGGCCACAGAACCTACAGTGATGTCTCATTTATTTGTCTTCATCAGTAAATAAGGAATTGTGGACAAGTAAACTTTTTTATACAATTATTACCTTTAAGAGCTAAAACTCTGTTAAAAAATTAACCATTTTTCTGACATGGTTAATATGAAAACAAACTTGTTGGGGCAAGTACAGTGGCCCTTGTATTTTCTCTTTGAAAAGCTCGAAATTACCTGATTATCACAATTTAATTCTCATTAGCTGCCTGCAGGGTCTGATGAGGGCAAGAATGATTAATGCCATTTTGCAGATGGGAAAGATCGATGGGTGAGGATATAGACGATTACCTATAAATCTTCTGGGGGTTCTATGCCAGCATCAGAGCCCAGTTCGTCACCTTCCAACCAGTGCCTCGTCTGTTGCCTTCTCCCGCTAACAGAGTTCTTATAAATCTATGGTCTTCCCCATGCCTTTTAGACATTAAGTGACTCATACTGACGAGCATGGCTTGACGAGTTGCATATAAATGTACCCCAAACATACGGATTACATTTCCTTTCAAAACACATGGGCTTAAAAATTAGGGGGGAAAGCGCTCGGCCAATGTTTTTTGGTTTTGCAGAACACAAAACATTTGTGGGATACTCTGGAGTTCCAGAACTTGCCAAACCTCAAACCAAAACACGTTCAGGTTTGTTGATCTCAATCCATCCCGGTGAGACCCAGAGGCCCAGGAAGGGAGGGTGTGAGGAAGCACGGGGAGGGCACAGCCACCCGGTTCTCTTTAGATGCCTCGCTCAGCCCCTGGGCCAGTAGCCTCTGGGTGCAGTGCCCGCTGAGGTCGCTGGGGTGGGGATACTTACTTCCCATTCCTGCTGTGCAATGGAAAGAGATATCCATGGAGAAGCGCTCCTGGCTTCTCGCCCTGTTGCTTCCTCCTTCCCCTCGATGGGAACCAGGGCGACTGATCTGATTGCTGAGTCTAGGAGGAGGGACACTTCAGGACCTGCTCGCCTGCAGGGAGCTGGCCTTCTGGGCTCTTCCGGTTGTATAGTGAGCCCAGCAGAGGAAGTCCACAGTTTGGGGGAGTCAGCTTATTTCAGGGGAGTTCTAGCTCACTCACTCAGCCTTCATGCCTGTGCCATAGTCTCTAGACACCTTTGTCAATAGTCACACTGGTATTTTGGTCTCCATTGCATTGGGCTCCTAGGCCTTTCTCGGAACTTATTCTGAATTCAAAGAAGGACAAGAGGTGATATTCATGGGGCCTCCCAGAACCCCAGCAGGAGCCGGAGTGAGTCCACAGTGTCAGCCCTGTGGTGTCACCATCATCAAAGCCTGTCACAGTTCCCTCTGCTTCTTCAGGAAGCGTCATTCACACACTTCAGTGTGAGCAGGTCACTGCCCTTCAAGCTCTAGTCATAGAGCTTCAACTTTTTCATTTGCACACAACTATTTCCCTGATGAGAACTCTCCACCAGAAAGGCATGCGTGCGGGCATGAGTGTGCATGTGTGTGTTTGTGTGTTTGTGTGAGAGTGTGCATGTATGTGTGTGAGTGCATGCATGTGAGTGAATGCATGAGAGTGCATGTATATGAGTGCACGTGTGTGTGTTCATGTTGTGGGGAAGAGTAGTAGACATCCAGGCCTCTTGGAGTGGAAACCCTTACCAGTTTTGCTTCCAGACATTCTCTTTGCAATGGGAGGGAAATTGTATTTACTTCCAAATTGTTCCAGATCTGGCTCTGGGTGCGAGTGGGTCAGTATAGGCTTACCTTTAATCAGACCTACCTCTGGGGCACAATTTCTAGGGTTATCTCCAGAGATAGCTCCTCGTGGGAGGAGACAGTAACCCCTCCCTGTTCCTGGGGGAAACGGAGTCCCTCAGCTTGAGGTGACTTGGTGTCCTGTAGTCTGAGTTTTGGGCTCTGCCTCCTGCTAGAAAATAAGCTCCTTGGAATGGGACCATACCTTTTTTAGCTTTCTATTTTTAGATTTTTTTCCCTATAGTGCCAGGTATACAGAGTAAAATAATACTCGTTTGCTTAGTTACAAAACAGAAAACAGAGTTGGGGAGTGGCAGAGAAATGAAAAACCAGGACTCTGAAGCCAGAAAGCCTGATCCAATCTAGGCCAAGTTGGTGCAGCAACAGTGGGGAGCCAGCTTCAGACACCAAATAAGAAGGGAAGAAAGAGTGGATTTATAAATAGGCTTGGTTTGAAAGTCTAAAGGCAGTTTTGATTCCAGTCCGAGATGGGCTGCTGCTGTGAGACACCGATTTACCGTAATTGCAGATTAGACTCCCCGCCCCCCACCTCCCTCCGTTCAGGCCACCTGAGCTTGCTCTGGATGGTGGGGACAGGTCTGTGCTCCCTGGGTCCCTGAAGGAGGACACCCAGTGAGTTTCGGAGTCTGTGAGCCTCAGGGAAGCAGGGGGTCCCAGGGGCTGAGCCCAAGCACAGTAAGGTTTGGTTGAGAAAGGCCACTCAGTAGCAAACTAAGAGCTAAAATTACATCTTTGGGGGTTGCTACCCAATGGGAAGCCCGTTTCAGAGAGGAGACAAAAGTGACAAAAGGGCAGAGAAGCAGAGTCCTTGCACCGAGTATCGCGGCCCAGAAGCAGCCTCAGGAGGTGCGTCCGCCCACCAGCCTGGACAGCCCGCGCGCTCAGCTAGAGGGGGCGTCGCACCCACAGACCTCACGCAGGGAAGGGGCAGCCAGCGGAGCCGAAGGCGAGAGGACTCCTGGGGCGCTCGCCCACGTCTGATGTGGAAGCCCTGTTGCTGTTAGGGTGGCTGCCAAGAATTTACAGAAAGCCCAAGGCAGCTTCAGAAATTTTATATAATTCCCAGGGACTCCCTCCAACACCAACACATACATAAAAAGGAGAGGATTAGCATTTTGATCTGTCTGGGGAGTGAGAGGTTCTACGAACTTGTTTTAAAAGTGCCATAAAGTACATGCCTCTGGGTCCTCCTCTGTCAGCACCTTCCATCCTGTCTTTGACCTTGTTCTCTGACCTTGTTCTTCCTCCCAGCCTCACTGCACCCAGGACATCTGTAAAGGAGGCTGTGTCATGGGATGTGGTTTCCTCCACATGCCCCTAGCTGGCATGGCGCCCCAGAAGCCCTGCTATTGGTACCACAACAGCCGCCCTTTTGTGGTTCAGGGGGTTGGTGCAGTTTTTTAGGAGGGTATCTGTTTCTCTGTGGAGTCCACCCTTGGAGGCCGGAGCCAGGGCACTCAAATTTCATATCTTAGGAACCGGCAGAAAGGAGCTGGGGGCAGGCCCTGAATGACAGGGAGGTTGGTTTATATGGGCAACTGGTTTTCGTAGGTTGCCCCTCACTGAGAAAATGATAGGATCTGCGGGAGAAAGCGTAGGAAGCAGTCAGTCTGAGCTAATTGTCAGCCGGCACTGCTGTGTACTGGGAATGTGGCTGGTCACACGCAGTCCTTCTGGGTGCCTAGTGTCCCTTCACATAATGTTTCAGGGTATAGTGATCTAAAAATGGAGCCATTAACTGCATTGCAGGGATGGGTGAATTTGCTTGAAGACGGTGCTCAACGAGACTCATACTTAACCCAGTGGAAGGAATCTCTACTGGTGGTGGGGAAATATCTGGGAGTAAAGAGTTTTCCTGTGGCCCCCTCTTAAGCAGCTGCTGTTCCAAAGCCATGTTCACAGGGGGAAGAACTGTCTCCTTGGGCACAGACAGGACCTCTTGTCAAGGCCCAGCCCCTCCTCACAACACCCACTCAACATGAATGTTCACCCAGAAACAGGACTGTGAGATGAGAATCAGAGTGGCTGAAATTCACAGATAGGAAAAGGAAAAGTCAGCTCGAAATGAGCCCTGGGCCAGTTCATCTTTGCTTAGATCCCCCAAGAAACAACTTTTCTTTGGGAGTCAGAGGCGGAAGAGTGCCGGGTGCATCTCAGTTACAACTGGTTAGCAGAGTTCTCTGTTACGACCAAGTATCTCAGATCTTGTCTGCACTCTATCTGTTAAGCTAAACATATAAAGTCACTAAGGTAAACTATCAGCAATTTTTACAGTTCAACCTCATGTATTTATTTCTAGCCATTCAAATTATAAGTATACAAATAATAGTAATAATCATTTCATGTAGTATCTATGGTCCGAGTTGTCTACTTTTATTTCCAAGTTGATAATTATTGGTACAGTGTTTCCCGTTTTACTGATGGCAAAACTGAATACAGCGAGATAGGAGCTTTCAGAATTTGCAAATCCAGCATGGACAGCATCCAGAGATTGATGTTTCCCTCTTCTGTTAGGAACAGCTTGCTAGTCAACAGACAGCCTTGCCCTCGTCACCTCCAGCCCCGTCGCTCCCGAAGGCTCACGTAGCCAGCGTAGAGCCCAATGAGCTAACCACTTGCCTCCTTTTGACCAGCATGACTTTCCAAGTGTCTCACTTTCAATTTCTGTATTTTCATTTGTTTTCCCTAGAGCCACTGGCTGTATATTTTCCAGCCAATCCCCTCCCGTTCTTTCCTGGCAATCTTTCTAGCCTCCGTAGACTCTGCATAGTCTTTTGTTATCCCTGGCATGGGTAACATTTAGGAGAGCTATGGGAGTAATCAGGACTGGACTCCCTCTCCGGCCGGCATGGCTGCATCTACAGTTCAAGGTGGCTGGCCCTGTTCTGGACCCTGGCGGCCGC